TTTTTTTTTAAAGGCCCGCATATATTATAGAAAATGAGAAGTTATTTTTTTTTAAAGGCCCGCATATATTATAGAAAATGAGAAGTTATTTTTTTTTAAAGGCCCGCATATATTATAGAAAATGAGAAGTTATTTTTTTTAAAGGCCCGCATATATTATAGAAAATGAGAAGTTATTTTTTTTTAAAGGCCCGCATATATTATAGAAAATGAGAAGTTATTTTTTTTTAAAGGCCCGCATATATTATAGAAAATGAGAAGTTATTTTTTTTAAAGGCCCGCATATATTATAGAAAATGAGAAGTTAATTTTTTTTTTTGTAACACTTGAAAAAAAAGAAACGCACCGGTTAAACGCTTGTTTCTTTTTTTATTATATATTTTAAAGATTTGTTCTTTCAAGGTCTTAGCGGCTCATGAATTGAGATACGCTGACATCTAAACTGTTTAATCCCTGAAAACTGTCGTCATCTTCGGTGGTGTAACGGTGCCAGTAATATTGTCGTCACACGGAACATTCGTCCTCGCGGTGTTGTTTTAACAACTGCACAAGGTCAAGGACACAATGTACACACAAAAGAAATGAATGCGCAACACACGACAGCAATAAGTCAACATTATTTAATTGAGTATAATTTTTTTTTTTTTAAAAGACATTAATTATCTTATATATATATTTATATTTCTCGAAACAATGTTCAATATAATATACTCAAAAACACATTGGTGTCATACACTTGAAAATAAGATGCATGCGTTTAAGCCCACTAAACCCACACAGTAGCCCACACTTACACACACACACAGTAAACCACATGCAGAATAAACAAATAATCCGACCAACCAGATATCCTCAAAAATTCACACAAATCTCCCCGGAACCCCCCCCCCCCCCCCACCCCCCCCCCCCCCCCCCCCCCCCAGGGCTATTTTTAGGTGCGGCAGGTAGGGTGTAGGGCTGTCTGTAGGGCTATTTTTAGGTCTGGCAGGTAGGGTGTAGGACTGTCTGTGTGTCTATTTTTAGGTCCGGCAGGTAGGGTGTAGGACTGTCTGTAGGGCTATTTTTAGGTCCGGCAGGTAGGGTGTAGGACTGTCTGTAGGGCTATTTTTAGGTCCGGCAGGTAGGGTGTAGGACTGTCTGTAGGGCTATTTTTTTTAAAGGCCCGCATATATTATAGAAAATGAGAAGTTAATTTTTTTTAAAGGCCCGCATATATTATAGAAAATGAGAAGTTATTTTTTTTTAAAGGCCCGCATATATTATAGAAAATGAGAAGTTAATTTTTTTTAAAGGCCCGCATATATTATAGAAAATGAGAAGTTCATTTTTTTTTAAAGGCCCGCATATATTATAGAAAATGAGAAGTTCATTTTTTTTTAAAGGGCCGCATATTTTATAAAAAATGAGAAGTTAATTTTTTTTTAAAGGCCCGCATATTTTATAAAAAATGAGAAGTTAATTTTTTTTTTAAAAATAAGACCATCTGTAAAGAATTAAGGATGTTATTCAACTATTTATTTTACGTTAAAACAAACCCACTAGACATTCATCAGATGATTGTCAAACATCAGCTCTGCTTCCGTGTTGTTGGACAAGATACGCTCTGTCACCACCATCGTTTGACAAGATAACCTCTGTCACGACCATCGTTGGACAAGATAACCTCTGTCACGACCATCGTTGGACAAGTTACACTCTGTCATGACCATAGTTTGACAAGATACACTTTGTCACGACCATCGTTTAAAAATATACACTCTGTCACGACCATCGTTAGACAAGATACACTCTGTCATGACCATCGTTTGAAAAGATACACTCTGTCGCGACCATCGTTTGAAAAGATACACTCTGTCTCGACCATCGTTTGAAAAGATACACTCTGTCATAAAAATCGTTTGAAAAGATACACTCTGTCACGACCATCGTTTGAAAAGATACACTCTGTCACGACCATCGTTGGACAAGATACACTCTGTCACGACCATTTTTGGACAAGTTACGCTCTGTCACGACCATCGTTTGAAAAGATACACTCTGTCACGACCATCGTTTGAAAAGATACACTCTGTCACGACCATCGTTGGACAAGATACACTCTGTCACGACCATCGTTGGACAAGATACGCTCTGTCACGATGGTCGTCAGCTTCTACCGTTGAACGGGTAGATGTTCGCTGAGAGACGGCTTGTGGAGCCTAGATCACGAGTTTTGCTGGCTGGGGTTATAAGTCATTGTGACCAATGGATACGGCATGGTGGATGTGGATAGGTCATGGTCACTGTCCATAACTCATGGTGGCTGTGGATAAGTCATGGTGGCTGCAGTACGTATCTGTAACGGTAAAAAATATAATAATATATACATATTGTACATAATTGCTGGAAAATCTTCTTTAAAAAAACAAAAACAAAATAAAGCCAAGTTCATATATCAGTTGCATTTGTAACCCTTGCAACCAGTGAAATATCCTCTTCAAAACCAGGCACAGAAACATTGCGAGCCAGAATAATCAAATACATTGATCGTTGGCCCTTAATATATAGAAGAAGAAGAAGATGAATCAACTTTGTTTAGTTATATTTGTAATGCCGTGAAGTTTTACACAGATTAAATACTTCCATGATATCAACGTTTGTATCGAATCCACACACATAATCTTTAAACAATCACACATATACATATACATTGACCGACTCCTATATTATCTCATTGATTATATTTGACAATACTACACAATTCCCATACCTTTTTGTCTTAAATAGGTATATGATGTCATGTCAAATGTCAATACTTACATTATGTCACCAGTTAACAGTTTGAGGTGCTCTACAGGATTCGTGATGACGTATGATCTGGTGCCTACCGTTGTCACGTGATCCTGATTTAGACTTTTATTGTTGTTTACAAGTTCAGTTCTATAAATAGCAATGGGGATTTCTCCGGCCGTAAGGCAGAGTTCTTGGTACAGTTGGCCGAATTCTGAACACCTTTGTAATGTGATCTCATCTACAACCACCTGGAATAAAGTATGTTTATTCTTTTTTAAAGTTTAAACTTTAGCACATAGCACTAAAATATTTACTCATTATAATGGAAAAATTGTCCATCCTCATTCCATACATAGAGTTTACACAAATTCCTTAGAATAATTCGATGCTCTATCTCCATACGCTCAGAGAATACAGCTGTGTGATTGGCCAAAGACTTAACAATTTCATTTAGATCAAATGTTTAAACAAATTCGTCAGATGAACCGAAATGTGCGAATGTCTCAATAAATGTATCTCACGCAGCCTTCAAGATGTTTGAATGTGACATTAACTACAAACACTGACACATCTACTGCCGTCAGACACTTACATAATTGAGGTGCCCCGAGCCTTCGCTTGAGTCCAAGTTTAAAATGAGCCTCACCAAGCTGAGGACGCTATTCTTGGTAAAACTCTGAAATCATGACATTCAACATTTATTACACGTGGGTGTCACGTGTTCAGATTTATTTTTACATTTAATCAGCATGAAATAAAAAGTTGGTCCAAAAAATAAAATAAAATAAAAATTAGATTTTTGCGGCGATCTGCGGAGTGACAGGTTCTCCTGTGGCAGCCATGAGGGTTGGCGCCGCCCCCACCCCCCTTCCAGCCTGTCTGTTTCCAAACCTTTTTGTTTGTTTGTTATTTCAAATGGCTGGAGACATACCTTGTACAAAAGCTGCCTGAGTGTAGACAGGGCAAATACTTGACCGCCATCAAACAATGAGCTGGCATCACACGATGAGCTGTCCTGTGAGCACTCCTAGAAATGACAAGTGTACACCTCCCCAATTTTAATTGTAACAATGACCATTACAGGTATTATGAATAAATATCTGGCATAATATATTTAAACGCTGTTTACATTTTCTTTTTAAAATAACTAACATATTAACATGTACAAAATAAAAACAACATTGAATATAAACAAAACATTGCTAGAAAACAGAACTGACCACACGTGACCTTGGGGTATGATGACAGTTCACGTGCATAAATCTCAAATTGGAGGCGTGGTTGAGAGCCGTCATCACGCAAGTGTTTGGATAGCGCCTGTAGATGCACAGGAACAAGTGAACAAGCATTTCAACACAGAGGCGTAGGATGGGATCGTAATCATAGGATGAGATCAGAATCATAGGATGAGATCAGAATGATAGGATAAGATCAGAATCATAGGATAAGATCAGAATCATAGGATGAGATCAGAATCATAGGATAAGATCAGAATCATAGGATGAGATCAGAATCATAGGATGAGATCAGAATCAGAGGATGAGATCAGAATCAGAGGATGAGATCAGAATCATAGGATAAGATCAGAATCATAAGATGAGATCAGAATCATAAGATGAGATCAGAATCACAGGATGACATCCGAATCACAGGATGAGATCAGAATCATAGTATGAGATCAGAATCATAGGATGAGATCAGAATCATAGGATAAGATCAGAATCATAGGATGAGATCAGAATCATAGGATGAGATCAGAATCATAGGATAAGATCAGAATCATAGGATGAGATCAGAATCATAGGATAACATCAGAATCACAGGATGAGATGAGAATCAGAAGATGAGACCAGAATCATAGGATGAGATCAGAATGATTGGATGATATCAGAATCATAGGATGAGATCAGAATCATAGGATAAGATCAGAATCATAGGATAAGATCAGAATCATAGGATGAGATCAGAATCAGAGAATAAGATCAGAATCATAAGATGAGATCAGAATCACAGGATGACATCCGAATCACAGGAAGAGATCAGAATCATAGGATAAGATCAGAATCATAGGATAAGATCAGAATCATAGGATGAGATCAGAATCATAGGATGACATCAGAATCACAGGATGAGATCAGAATCATAGGATGAGATCAGAATCATAGGATGAGATCAGAATCAGAGGATGAGATCAGAATTATTGGATAAGATCAGAATCATAAGATGAGATCAGAATCACAGGATGACATCCAAATCACAGGATGACATCCGAATCACAGGATGAGATTAGAATCATAGGATGAGATCAGAATCATAGGATGAGATCAGAATTATAGGATGAGATCAGAATCGGGGCAAACTTCCAATTTTCTTGATATCATGATCTGATTTTTAAAAAAGACCACACAAAAAAGACAATGAAACAGTCACGTAGCTATATGCTGATAGGGGTGCTAAGATTTTGGCTTCCCTTGCAAAAGAAAAACAAAAAAAAAACTCTGTAGGTTGCCGAAATTGCCACCCCTGAGAAAATATATATTGAGAAAATAGTGTTTCCCCAAGGGGGGGGGGGCACACCCTCTTACAACGCCCTAAAACGAATATTAAAATTATCGGTTAAATAATGTTATATAAATAGTATCTCTATATATAATACGCCAGATACTAGAGCAAGCAAGACGACGCAAGCTATATATAGATACGCCAGAGTAAGCAAGCAATACGCAGGCAAACCTTCCCTTCCCTTGCCTGCCCATCGTTGGTCTCGAGACACGCGCACTGTGGTGAAGCTACCACCCACCCCCCCTTTCCTGCACCACCTTCGCTTGCCAGCCATGCGGACACCCCAACAAGCTCTGAGCCAGCGAGCCATTCTGCGACGGATGCTACGCCGCGGGTCGGCTCGCCATGTCCTATTCCCTTATGGTTAGAAGTTTGCAGCTACCACAACACATGCTACACATACACTACGTTTGTAATCCGATACTAGAGCTAACCTGTCAACAATGGCGGCGGCAATGCCTAGAGAAATTTTATTTGTGACTAATATAATACATTTAGCTGTTAAAACATAATAATAAATTATTGATGATTGATTGACATTGTTAGCACTGTTACAATAGCTCTACCGTATCAATGTCTGTACTGTGATGATGGTAGTGATATTATGAGCATTGTTAAAATAGCTCTACCGTATCAATGTCTGTACTGTGATGATGGTAGTGATATTATGAGCACTGTTAAAATAGCTCTACCGTATCAATGTCTGTACTGTGATGATGGTATTTGCATCCGTCATGCAATCGTCAGCACCGACATCCGAGTCAAGGTCGAGATCGAACACAACCAGGTGGCTTGGATCTGGTAGTGTCGACTCTATTAGGGCGCTGTGGGAATAGATTTTTGACCAGTCAAGGGGAGGTGTGAACGTCCTTGAACTCAGTCGTATTAAAATGAATGTATCCATCTTACAACAAACACTGTTGTCATCACGAGACGATTTGCTCACGCAGAGATGCACACCTTCTCATGCACATATGCACAGACGCACGCATCCCAATGAGGCTCGCACTTAACAACATTCACTTTCATTACATCCCACGTTTAGTGTTAGCACAGTACTCGCCTTGTCAGTGTTCCGATCATGTAGTAAACACAGGGAAATTCAGCCAGGGTGTCCAGGAACAACTTGTCTGCTGGACTGCAAGAAGTAGAATAACAAATACAAACATGACAGGATGTTATTGGTTATCGTCAATGTTATTTAACCCCCCCCCCCCCCCCCCCCCCCCCCACGGTNAATATGCAGCGATGGAGACTTAGTCAGTTAGAAATATGCAGCGATGGAGACTTAGTCAGTTAGAAATATGCAGCGATGGAGACTTAGTCAGTTAGAAATATGCAGCGATGGAGACTTAGTCAGTTAGAAATATGCAGCGATGGAGACTTAGTCAGTTAGAAATATGCAGCGATGGAGACTTAGTCAGTTAGAAATATGCAGCGATGGAGACTTAGTCAGTTAGAAATATGCAGCGATGGAGACTTAGTCAGTTAGAAATATGCAGCGATGGAGACTTAGTCAGTTAGAAATATGCAGCGATGGAGACTTAGTCAGTTAGAAATATGCAGCGATGGAGACTTAGTCAGTTAGAAATATGCAGCGATGGAGACTTAGTCAGTTAGAAATATGCAGCGATGGAGACTTAGTCAGTTAGAAATATGCAGCGATGGAGACTTAGTCAGTTAGAAATATGCAGCGATGGAGACTTAGTCAGTTAGAAATATGCAGCGATGGAGACTTAGTCAGTTAGAAATATGCTTTGTTTAAAAAAGTTAACTATGTAATTTAATATGATTATAAAAATTCGAAAAATTACACCCCCCCCCCTCATTTATTCCTTTCTTTTTCCTTCCGGGTCACATTTTCTATTGATCTTCTCTACCTTACGCCACTGTAGACAACATTGTGTTCGAGATTCTTTGAGAATATGACATTTGCTTGACCATAACCTTGGAATAATTGTAGCAGGGGGTGAACCAACTGTAAGTCTGAAAACAGGAATGACACTTGTGTCAAATATTGCTGGGTTTTTCTATGACACAAAACCTGTGAATATACTTTTTTTTTTGTTGCATTATTTAATTAGTTTATTCAGTACTATGAAACTTTAAAACAATCAAATTGTTCAACTCTCAGAGGTTGTAGCCCCCGACCCCACATTCCTGATCAGTAAGTCACACAACTGATGATTTGCAGTCAGTCGCTGAATGAAGTCAAAGTTTAGCCGAAATACCTTGAAGAAGGTTATACAAAAGACACTTTTCCTTTTGCTGCTTTAAAGAAATATACTTTATTTTACAGAGATTATTTCATTTCGCAGAGACACGGGCTTCTGGTGTGGTCTTGAAGCTTAAAAAAAAACAAAAAAAACTACCACATCAGCAGTGCCATGTCATGGCAAAGCTGCAATAACTGCCACATCAGCAGGGCTGTGTCATGGAAAAGCTGCAATAACTACCACATCAGCAAGGCTGTGTCATGGAAAAGCTGCAATAACTAACACATCAGCAGGGCTGTGTCATGGAAAAGCTGCGCCCGGGGCAAAGACTGATTTTTGTGCTTATCCCTTTCGAAAAATGAACATATTTATTTCCATATTATGAATGAATAAATGTGGTGGGTTCTTTTTGGTGAGTTCTTTTTGCGGCCCATTTAGCACGCAAAATGGTTATAAAGACTTGTGATCGAGCGGTAAGAGGAAAACTAAAGGGCTATAACATTATGAAATGTGATGTGATTTTGCTTATCAACATTACCTCCCTTGCCGAGACAAAGCCGTCGCCGTGGTCGAACCTGACAGTCGATGGCTGTGACGCGTTTCCCTGGATTCGTCTGTAAGGAACATACACAGCACCTTACTGCATGTAATATCCAAATAAATATTTTAAAATATTCTTTTAAAAATGTACTTTATTTTATTTATTTATTTATTTTCATTATGACCTTGCATCAGTCAGTACACGGATTTTAGGTTTATATTATTACATGCTGTAAAAAAAAAAAAAAATTACAGATTTTGAATATACATGTACCCAAACAGAATGAAATGATTGGGATTATTTCGAAGAGCCGCTAAAGGATTAAGTTAAAACCTGTATATGTCCGGCCTTCAAATGCAAGTGTTCTCCGTGGACACTGAGATGAATTTAACTCAGCTGATCTCTTCAATTTCGGATCATTCGAAATCGTATCACCTTCCAACTCTCCCATGTAATAACACACGTCTTGAGCCTGTGGGAGACACAGCAATAGCCGTGAAAAAAAACAACAACACGTCAATGTAATAAACCATGAGACAAGGCGGGTTTATTGACAGGCTTGTGCTAAATCCGTCCACTCGAGCCCCACCCCCCCCCCCACACACACACCCCCCGACCACAGCATGTTGTAACAATGAGAAATTGCAACCAGAGACGTAACAATAACACATGCTACAATGTAATAAACCCTGAGACAAGGCGGGTTTATTGACCGGCTTGTGCTAAATCCGTCCCCTCGAGCCCCACCCCCCCCCCCACACACACACCCCCCGACCACAGCATGTTGTAACAATGAGAAATTGCAACCAGAGACGTAACAATAACACATGCTCATTTAAACCCAAATCTACGTTGTTATTTTATGTTTTGTGTGTGCAATACAATTGTAAACTGCCCTTTTAAACAGAAATTAATTAAAAAGAATTCTTTTTTTTTTTTCAATTCGATCTATAATCAAATATTTAAAAGCTGACCCGTACCTTCAGTTTGTAGTCATGTCCAGGGTTGAGTTTTATGATCAGACTTGGAGTCTCGCTGTCTGCCACAGCCAGTAGAATGACGCCGTATCTGTTAGAACGATGCATCAGTTGTTTTTTAACGCCATAGGAATGTGAATGTCTCACCCTTCTTACACCATATAAGAACTGACCATAACAAATATGGAGGCGCGTGTTAATGTGTCCACATTTCAAATGTCTTAAAATATGTAGAACCGATGCCGCGGATTCTCTCTATGAATATGTCTATCTAAAACTAAATTGGTCCTATATTAAAATGCCTATTTCAGCCTTTCATTTTTAAAAAATAATTATTTAGCATGATAACAAACGATTAACATGATAGAGCCAACATTAAAAATGCGGCTGAATGTTTTGCAATCGTATGTTCCCATAGACCTTCAGCGTTCATTTTAAAAAGTTTCATCACCTCTTATAGACATCAGCAGCAGCCCTGGGGAATGTGTGCCCCTCGTGTTCACGCAAGAAGTCACTCGTTTGTAGCTGAGCGTGTTGGACCTCCATCCGAGTAGGGTTCCTTTGAACCTGTTTACTGGCCAACGGGACTCCGCTGAGAACAACAAAAATCATTTACACAATAATAGAAACATTTAGAGTCAGAGATGTTAGAAGTGACAAAATCTACACACCGAGTTGCGGGTTGTTGATATGTACATCGATGTCTTGTGGAGTACATTTCAAGATATTAGATATATGCAAAACCAGAAGGAGGGACATTTGTTCAGTTTGTTATATTAACTCTAATCAAGATAACTCTAATCAAGGTAACACTAATCAAGATAACTCTAATCAAGATAACTCTAATCAAGATAACTCTAATCAATATTGTCTCGCAGTGTAAAGATTTCTAGACCAAGTCTCAGTAAACCAGTACACAACGAGAAACATTGTAAAAGAAAAATTCCCTAAGATAACCGTTTTGACAACAATTACTTTGTAGCAAAATGTAATGAAAGCCTGATATCACACGGGAGACAGTTTTACACTTTCAACAAATGAAATGAAGACAAAACGGTAGCAATGACAGTTTTAATAATTTAACCAAAGCACATCTCACCACTTTATTCAAACTTTGTCCAAATATTGAAAATCGATTATTTAAAGGAAAAAAAAAACTTCTGTATCTAAAAAAATGTCTTCTTTACTGGTATCGATCCCTTAAGTTTAAGACATTCGCATTATCAGCACGATTGGAGTTAACCAGGTGTTGAATCTATTTGTCTACACATGTTATGTATCCGAGCTATGCCTTGGGACCCATTATGTTTTCGAACTTTGTGATTTTTGATTCAAATAATGTCGCATGACTGATCTGTGTCAAAAACAGATCGATGAACATGTTTAAATAGATCAGCTAAGAGCGCAACATTTTCATCTGCGCTTAGTGTGGGAAAATGATATCGATGAAATGTTCAATCTATCCTCAAAATCAGCGTTCATGTCAAACGTAATCAATTTGTCAAAACATGAACAAAAAGTATAATGTTAAACCACCCATATGATACAGTCACAAGATCTTTCATTTAACACTGGTTGACATTTAACAATAGGATTGTTAACCAATGATATAAATGGAAAATAAAAGTTAATGTTAAACTAGCAGGTCTAAAAGATACGAACGAGTTCAGTGACCGAATGATTCGGTGTGGCCCAACTTACTCGGTGTGGCCAACTTACTCGGTGTGGTCAATTTACTCGGTGTGGCCCAACTTACTCGGTGTGGCCAACTTACTCGGTGTGGTCAATTTACTCGGTGTGGCCCAACTTACTCGGTGTGGCCAACTTACTCGGTGTGGTCAATTTACTCGGTGTGGCCCAACTTACTCGGTGTGGCCAACTTACTCGGTGTGGCCCAACTTACTCGGTGTGGTCAATTTACTCGGTGTGGCCCAACTTACTCGGTGTGGCCCAACTTACTCGGTGTGGCCCAACTTACTCGGTGTAGCCAACTTACTCGGTGTGGCCCAACTTACTCGGTGGGTCGTGCGTGGATCAGGTGGCTCACAAAGGTGGACACGCCGGGGATCCAACAGTTGAAGGCCAGGAGGGTGTACGCCAAGTCGTCTTCACATACAACATGATCTGTAGGAAATGGTCAGTGATCGAGGTCAGAGAAGTGATGAGTGATCGAGGTCAGAGAAATGGTCAATATAAATAAAAAGATGAGGACTAAAAGAATGAGTATGAGAAATGGAGAAAGAGGAGGAGGAAGAGAGAGGGTGAGTAGGGAGACAGTAACGGATAAAGATTATTAATGAATGAAAGGGAGTAAGAGTGAGGCATTGAATTTTCTATCACGGGGCAATCCATAAATGACGTCACTCACCCAGATGGGGGGGGCGAGGATGGGGGTCAAGGAAATATGACGATGTGTGTCGATGGTGCCTACATTTTGTGAAAAAATGGGTGACGTGAAAAGGGGGGGGGGGTAAAAAGTGACGTAAATTATGGATACCGTATAAGGTGCCAGCCTGCCTTGGTCATAAAAATAAAACCAAAGGCACCTCGAAGACCCCCGACGCCTCGCTACCCCTCACAACGCCGACACTGTCCATTAAGCCGTGTCACCTGTATGGCCGATGTGTAGCGAGTTGGTGGCCTTGAACAGCTGGATGTATTGACTGCAGGTGGGAGCAAAGTCTTTCACAGCCCAGGATCTAAGTATCGTGTGGTGATCCTGTTAGAAAACAATGCAACCTCCCTGTTCAGAATAAAATCTTTGAAAATTGGATCTTTTATAATAAACACTTATATACATTTATTTTTAATATCTGTGCTCTTTAAGACTTTCTAGTATTTGAATTTCGTCCATTTTCATAAATAAAATTAAAAAAATAAACGAATTTCAAGTATTTTAGAACACATGTTCAATCATCCCCCGTACAAACACATGTATCAAACACACACATTAATACATACATACACGAGTGAACATGCAAACATTAATGTCACCTTAGACATTGACAATAATCCATCCACACTTAGACAATAATGGATGCACACATATTCGGGAGGGTTAACTATTATAGATAAAAAGGAAAAGAGAAAAAAAAAATTATCTTGTGATGTTGAACTAATATAAGGATGCAAGATAAGATTACAGACTAATCCCGATACGAATAAAAATAAATATCCCAATTGGTATACACAAAAGTGGATTTTAAAAAAAATTGTATGTCACAATTTCAACAAGGCTTGAATGGACCTACTCACTGCCTTGTTCTTGTCTATTGCAGACCTCGAGGTCATCAAGAAACAAGCTTCTGATTGGCTGATACCACCACGGTGAAGGTCATCTTCTTTGAGACACGAGCCCTGTACGTAAGCTACTTTCTGCGCCCACTGTGGCTGCGCCAGCACCAGTCGAAAGTTGCTGTCCTCTGCTAGCGGACTCAAGATGACCACTTTGTAATCCTGATGTTTTGGGTAGAATTTGGTGGTAGAGTTATAACATGTTAGGATAATTAGTTTTAGTTTCATGCGGAGATACGAAGTCAGCAATGAGAAATAAACAAAGGACCGAATGGCCTTGACCTATTTACAAGCTCACCTCGTTTGGGGGACTAGAGAAAAATTCCTCGAGGAATTCCAAGACGGCGTCAGCGGAGAGACTTCCGCATAGAGTCACTTGTTTTGTGACGTCAGATGCAATGACATCACGACCAAACTTCCGGTACTTCAAATATGTAGACACAATCTCAGCCACCTTGGTTTCAAGAATTTAAAAAAAAATTGTTTGGTTTCAATAATTAAATCTAATAGGTTAGGTTATTAATTGCAACCAGAGGCGTATCAAAGGTGGAGCGAGGCTGGGCACGTGCCCTTAGAACAGGGGTCTCAAACTTATGGCCCGCGGGCCATTCGCGGCCCGCAATGCGATATTTACTGGCCTGGGACATAACAGCAAAGTTTAGTGTTAAATCGGCCCTCGCGTTTTCCCCATTCTCATATCTATAATGCAACCCTCAGCGACGGTTTCAGTCAAACCTCACCAACTAGTCTAATTCTGATTTTTATTTTCGTTTGTATAGATTTGGACGTTGATTTTCCTTTTTTGCTGGCATCCGTCCGTCACAAGGTGACGATGGTGAAGACTTCGCAGGACGAAATCTATAAGGCCTGGGATTATTCTAGGATTAGCTGGATCCCAACAGCAAATGGCCTCACTCCACGCCGCTGGATAACCCAAGGGAACATCATGTTGATGATACAGCTTGGCACCATTTGATTGTACCAATGTTATCCGCCTACGGGACTCCATCCCCGGGTTTGAATTCAGAGTTTCCTTCTCTTAGATGAGTTGCCATCTAAGGCTAACGAGTCCCATCCACCCGCTGATTATAAAGGTAGCATTTTATGCGACAAACATGGCCAAAGTGCGGTTTTGAGAAAACACGCTTCGAATATGATATATACATTTTTCAAAAATTTTAGAAGTCAGTTAGCGGGTAATGCACAACCATAATTGTGTAAATCGTAGCGATCTGACACAGTATCGAAGAATCCCTATTAAAATTGCCTCTAATGTTTACGAGTGAGGGAAATTCCGAGCCTGTCAGCTTTGTCACTTGCGCTGTCAGGTCTCTGGCAACAAGAAGTAGGAGGAAGAAAGTGAAGCCTAGTTCTTGAGAACCCTTAATGTTTTTAATTTTTTATTACTCAAGGTTGAGCAGATTGTACGAGTTTTACTTTATGAAGTTGTAATCGCTTTTTTGTGGAATACTTCATGCGGCCCAGTCTCACTCAGACTCTGCCTCCTGCGGCCACCAGATGATTTTGAGCTTGAGACCCCCCTGCCTTAGAAAGAATAGGAAGAAAACACGCGGCTGTCGTCGGAGGTGGTTTGTCGCCCTTATCAACTACAGGTGGTCTTTATATGATGAATCAGTCAGTTCATGTAATGGTGAGCCTTTTAATAGGATGGCGCTCCCTGCCATGTGATAGCACGAATCATAATACGGACTGTCATATAATACTCTCAAAGGCAGTAGTTTGAACACTGTACGCCCCCCTCCCCACACACATATCATTTAAATGTACCCCTCACTCTCAAGTGAAGGCGATCCTATCACGTGAAAGCAATCCCCGTTAGATGAAAGTGACCCCTTGTGAGATGAAGTCGACCCCTATCACTTTTATTTCGATAGACCCATATTTAGGCAAAATCTGATTCCAGATTACTATTTCCTGGCCCATTGATTCTCATTCATAGCACATTTAGTCGCTGGGTGAACGAAAAGCACCTTACCTGCTCGGGCAGTGTCAACCAAGACAAGCAGATGACAGCAATCATCAGCAGGCGACCCAACCAAACGTCCGGGGAGAATCCTGACGCTCCGATCGTCCAGAATGTCAAGAGAACGTAGCTGAACGACTCGGACAACGTCAGTGGCCGGCGAGAGCTGACCCGCTGAGTGTGCTGAATGGAACAGGCGCTGAACAGAGAGCGAAAGAAGCAAGGCGAAACGTTGAGAGTTGAAATGTCTTACCACAAGCTGTTTTCCTGAACATTGCTAAACTTTGGTTTGAAGGGTTGTTTAATAATTTTTTAAGTGGCGCAATACGTTCTGCAAAAAGTTTCCCGAAAGACACATTCACTTGTTTCCCCAAGACACATTCTCTTGTTTCCCCAAAGACACATTCTCTTGTTTCCCCAAAGACACATTCTCTTGTTTCCCAAAGACACATTCTCTTGTTTCCCCAAAGATACATTCTCTTGTTTCCCAAAGACACATTCTCTTGTTTTCCCAAAGATACATTCTCTTGTTTCCCCAAAGACACATTCTCTTGTTTCCCAAAGACACATTCTCTTGTTTCCCCAAAGATACATTCTCTTGTTTCCCCAAAGACACATTCTTTTGTTTCCCCAAAGACACATTCCTATGTTTCCCCAACGACACATTCTCTTGTTTCCCCAAAGACACATTCTCTTTTTTTTCCCAAAGACACATTCTTTTGTTTTTCCGAAAAGACACATTCTTTTGTTTCCCCAAAGACACATTCTTTTGTTTCCCAAATACACATTCTTTTGTTTGCCCAAAGATACATTCTTTTTTTCCCCAAAGATACATTCTTTTGTTTCACCAAAGATACATTCTTTTGTTTTTCCCCAAAGACACATTCTCTTGTTTCCCAAAGACACATTCTCTTGTTTCCCCAAAGACACATTCCTATGTTACCCCAAAGACACATTCTCTTGTTTCCCCAAGACACATTCTCTTGTTTCCCCAAAGACACTTCCTCTTGTTTCCTCAAAGACACATTCTCTTGTTTCCCCAAAGACACATTCTTTTGTTTCCCCAAAGACACATTCCTATGTTTCCCCAACGACACATTCTCTTGTTTCCCCAAAGACACATTCTCTTTTTTTTCCCAAAGACACATTCTTTTGTTTTTCCGAAAAGACACATTCTTTTGTTTCCCCAAAGACACATTCTTTTGTTTCCCAAATACACATTCTTTTGTTTGCCCAAAGATACATTCTTTTTTTCCCCAAAGATACATTCTTTTGTTTCACCAAAGATACATTCTTTTGTTTTTCCCCAAAGACACATTCTCTTGTTTCCCAAAGACACATTCTCTTGTTTCCCCAAAGACACATTCCTATGTTACCCCAAAGACACATTCTCTTGTTTCCCCAAGACACATTCTCTTGTTTCCCCAAAGACACTTCCTCTTGTTTCCTCAAAGACACATTCTCTTGTTTCCCAAAGACACATTCTCTTGTTTCCCCAAAGATACATTCTCTTGTTTCCCAAAGACACATTCTCTTGTTTCCCAAAGACACATTCTCTTGTTTCCCCAAAGACACATTCTCTTGTTTCCCAAAGACACATTCTCTTGTTTCCCCAAAGATACATTCTCTTGTTTCCCCAAAGACACATTCTTTTGTTTCCCCAAAGACACATTCCTATGTTTCCCCAAAGACACATTCTCTTGTTTCCCCAAAGACAC